GATAGCCTACTTACTCGTGAAGTCTCCTAGATTATTGGTTTTATTTTGACAAGTGTGGGTTTACTTCTCTCTGCTCTGCTGATTGTGCCTATCAGATGCAAAGCAGTTTCACACTTCTCTCTTATCCATTTCCTGCCATGAAGTTTATTTAAGGGAAGAGACCTGCTCAGAGAAAATATCTCTCTTTCAGCCCTACCTCCCTTCTGAAGTTGGATCCACAGAGAGATTTGCCCTACAATCCCAGGGTCCTGCTCCTGTCCTCAGACTCTCTTCTAGTAAAGTTGACTATACTCCTCTGGACTCCTACCTTATTTTCAGGGTGATGTATACCCTGCAGGACATGAAAGCCAGTGTCAACTCTTGGCATACTCCCCATTTGGGGCTGAGTTCAAATTCCATTGCAAGGCATGAGATTAAGGCCATTTCCTAATTCCATTGTGGATGAGATTTTCTTCCCAATTTCTCTATTGTTTTTTCATATAGCATTTCAGGGAGGGATATGGAGTAACTATGTACTTAATTATTTATTACAATCTCTTATTAGAGACCCTTGCTATGACAGATGTGATAGAAATTCTCTTTAAGGAAGATTGTTCTTCTTCTAAGATATAGATTACAGTGAGATGAGGTAGCATACCAAAAACTCTTAGAATAATCTAAGCCAGCACAATCCAGTAGAACTTTCTGCACTGATGGGATTAGTCTGTATCTGACTGTTCCGTATAGTAGTCACTAGCCAGTTGTAGCTATTGAGCACTTGAAATGTGGTTTGTGAAACTGAGAAAATTATTTTATTTTATTTTATTTTATTCATTTAAAGTTAAATTTATAGAGCCACATATAGCTAATGGTCAGCATATTGGACAGTACAGGTCAAGGAAAAATAAAAGCAGACTACTATAGCTAAAGAAATTAAAATAGAAGATGATATCTAAGATGTGTTATGGAAAAAGGAACTACAGTGTTTTCATAAGAGGAGAGAGAGAGGAGATTGAAACAATGCAAAGGCCATGTGCTTGGGAGAGGGGGGAGACTGGTAGTACCACTCAATGAAGAGGGGTATATTTTGAAAAATAGATATTTTAACAGGTGAGTTGCCAGTGGTAAGGAGAACTTCAAGTGGAAATGACTATAAACAACTGGAATTCTCACACTGAATTGGGGCATGGGTGAGGGTCAGAGGTATTAAAAAAACTCTTTATCCTCGACATTTCCATCCTGAGTCTCCTCTGCTACCATGTAGTCCTTCTCAGAGATTGTCTTGTCCTCCTCTAATGGAAAGACTCTGATATATGGCATAATAATGATGGTTCAGAGGAATTACTGTTGCTCCTACTGAGTGATTAATATGAAATTAGTTGCTAAACACCCGGTAGTACAGAATTGAGGAAGAATTTGATTTTGTTTTAAAAATGAAAAACGCAAGATGAAATAATGTTTGGCACACACGTAATACTTTTCATCTGAGAATCTCTACATACTCAGCAAGTTTAATTGGTGAGAAAACCTCTAAGAAAGAGAAGGGATGAAATGAGGAACACAGATACCAGTGCTCTATTTCTGTGAGTTTTCAAATCAAGCATGGTGTTTTCCTCTCCCGTGAATGCACATATATAGCCCTTTGTGGCCGTGGGCTTATTCATCTTTCTGCTGCGTGATGTCTCCTGAAGGCATCTCATTTATGAGGGTGGTAACAGCCCTGCAGAACCCACCCCAACTGTATTGCTGTCCCTTGATCTATTTGCAATGGAAATCCATCCCTATCACTGGAGTGCAGCAAGCATTCTCTGATCATTGAGTCCACACTGTCCCTGGAAAGACTGTTCTGTTGCTGAAGGAAGCAGGTTATCTTCTTTATCAAAAATTACTCAAAACAAACATCCATGAATCTGGGACTAACATGCATCAGAAGGGAGCAGGCAAGGCCCCTTAACGGGTGCCCTACTGTGTAGTCTTCCTTTCATCTTAATTCAAAACGCCATGGAGATTCGAGCTGCTTTATGCAAAAATATAAATTCTTCTAATTACTTATGTGTAGGGTATAGGGTACATGGTTTGGCCGAGTCATAAGAGACAGGCAATGATGTATCCTGGCAATTATTTTCATCTGTCATGACCTGAGGATAGATGCTGGATTTTTTTTGTTCTATGCCTTCTTGTTTTTGTTTTTGCTTCTTTTCCTTTCCTCCCCAATTTATTTTCTCCTCCTCTTTACTATCAATAAATAAATACATAAATAAATCTACTTTTTCTGTCAAAAGAGAAAATACCTTGAAACATCATGGCTTCTAAGAATTTTTTACAAAGGGTTTGATATTTTGTGAAGTAAATCTAGCTGCCATATGTAAAAACGCCTATTTTTGCTTGAAGGGGAGAAGACACTGAGGGGGTCTCAGTTTTTGCTTTTCAACTCACTCAGCCCTTTCAGATGCCTCCAGTCTCACATGGATCTTTCACTTCTAGCCAGCCACCCTCTCCCACTCCCTGAGCCAAGTCCCTCAGGTCAACCCCCATCCCTTCTCAACTGTCTTTCTTCAGCCACTAAGGGAACATGATCTTACCCCCCCACCATCCTATCTGCCCACACTGTGAGGCCTGCACTCTCTCCTCTTTAGTTTGATGACCCCCACCCACATCAAGATCACCATTGTCCAATAAGATACCATAGTGACCTTTCCCTTTTAAAACATAACTGGGACTTGAGGAGAGTTGATCTAAAACTTTCCAGTTTAAATGTCAAATTCTCAAAATCCAGATAGAGTTGGAATCCACCTAAGCATATTTTTCTGTTCCCATTCCCAGTAGCCTTCGTAGTGGCCCTAATTAGAAGTTGCATTTTGTAATATCACTTAAGGCTTTGGCACTGTGGAGTTCTGCCAGTAATGGTGTTTAATTCACTTATATGTGCCAATTCATCTATGTCAGGAACCTATTAATTTCTTCACTATTTTACTTTATCCCTCGCCCCTATATAACCAGACACAATGATCCCCATTTATGTAACCAAAAAACTTAGAGTCTCTTATAAATTACTCCCTGATCCCACTGCATTTAGTGACCGGAAAGCCTCTGTATTTCTTTTTCATCTTTAAATCAATTTTTGCATGCTCTTTTCCTTAGAAGAATACACTGGAACTCTAGGGCACTAAATAGTGAAATCATAGCAAAGCTGTAAGATTTTGCTGGGTTCTTTAAAACACATTCCTGTCCCAAAAAAGACTTCCGTACTACACCAAAGATGTACTGTTCCCACAAACACAGCCTATCTGTAGGTTGGAGATGTTAATGAAAATCAGCCTCTGACTCCACTACCAGTCTGGTCATCAGTGGGCAAGATGTCAACATACCCATTGCATTGCCACCCAAGTAAAGACCCTATAACAAATCGAGGTCAGGGACATAAAAGGGATTCTCTTATGCTGCTGGCATTTCTTCATGGTGTGATCTTGTGACCAGGAAAGTGATAGCTAAGTGCCTAGAAAGAGTTAACATAACAAGGGAGTATTTCATTGTGTTAGCACATGAAACTCACATACACCTCTGCTACCTATTCTGCATTTTTTCAGGATTGGAGCAAAACATCAGGAGCTGAGGGAAAAGCAAGCACGAGGCCTTGTTGAATATGCTACTGAGGCTGCTGGGTCAATGCACGACATGGATGATGATGAGATGGACCCCAACTACGCCAGAGTGAACCACTTTCGGGAGCCATGTACATCAGCAAATGTCTTCAGATCTCCATCTCCCCCTCGGGCTGGACCATTTGGCTATCCGCGGGAGGGGCGTCCACTGTCTCCAGAAAGAGACCACTTAGAGGGTCTCTATGCCAAGGTCAACAAGCCATACCATCCACCCACTGCAGTTGACAGGTAATAGAACTTTAGTGAAAGATAAATGGAGTTTTAACTCAGTAAGCTTCAAATCATCTCACTGCTGAAGTAGATAAAAACATATCCTCTGTTCGATTAAAGCTGAAATGACATGGGACTTTAGATACATGCTATACTTTGACCTACCTGCAAGGTATCTGCCATCAAACATAAGACAATAGCCAGTTATAAGGTCGCATGAATGAATTGCACTCGTAGAGTTCATGGTACAACAGGGAGTGATTTCTGAAGGAATATTGTGACAGACAACTAATGATGAAAACTTTGAAGGAATATTGTCCTTTCTCCTAAGGGTCCTATTGTAAAAGACTTATTCAGGAAAATGGCATGGCACTTGGAGGTGAGGAGTCAGGGAAAGAAAGTGATAACTTCCAAGGGAGTGTAATTGAAGTGGAATTATAGAGAGCTGTGGAGGAGGAGGGCTCTTTGAAAAGAAAGATGGGGATTTTGTGCGCAAGGAAAATGTGACCCTGTGTAGATATTCATGGATGATCAGAGGTAGAAAAGGAGATAATCTCGGCAATAGGAGTTTGATGAAGTAGAGAAAGATAAGAGGTGACAAGGCCAAAGATCTTTAGGTTTAGCAGCTGAGAGAAAAGATAATAGGACCATCTGTCAGTACAACTGAAATAGGTAGGGAGCAATAAGATTCCAGCCCCACCTCCTGCCAAAAGCAAAATGCCTCTCTCTCAAAAGGATGATGTTAGAGAGTTTCAGTCAATATACGTTGTTAGGTGACCCTTGGAATGACACGTGCAGGCACTGTGTTGACTCACGATGGGCTCATCTGACTTGGAGCCTAGAGGGTGGCAGTGGGGAGGAAGTGGGGGCAGGCACAGAGAGCTGTCACTCCACACGAGGAAAAGACGTGTTTCCTGAATTTCTTCGGGTTCTGACAACCACCCAGACCCTGTTAGTCACCAGCCTTTGTGTGATAGCATGATATATTGTGCATGTTTACCATTTACGTCTCCCCAGCTGGGGGATATTATGCACTTTCAATTAGGTTGGGGAGAGGAAGGGAAATAGTGGCATTTTTATGCAGACTGTAAAGTGTCTTCACAAGACTGATTACCTTTCAGAGCCTTTCCAATAACCAAGTGGGAAGGAAGGAGCAATTTTTAATCCTTACTGTCAAGCTTCCAGGTTGATAATATTAGAGAAAGATGGTCAAGTTTTTCTTCAGGACAAAATGAAAATATAAATTCTTATGACTGTGATAGAGCCGTAATAACTAAACTGCTAATTCAAAGAATTGATTATGAACTGGATTTTCTCTCCCCAGCCTTCATCTGGGGTGGAATTTTCTCATGTAAATAATAACACCAGGCATGCATTTCTTCTGGTTATCTTACTTTCCCTATATCAAGGGGCCCTCATAGCCATCCTCTGCATATTCCATAGCTGGAAGCCCCGCACAGAAGTCAGGATTTTCCACTAGCCCCTTGGAAATAAATATGAGGCATCCTATAAAAAAGGCTCATGAGTTAAATACACATGGGGAATTCTGGGCTGAGCCACAAGGAACAGGCTTCCTCACTCCGCCTTCTTGTATCTGATATGCTGACATGCATTAGGGGTCACTAGGAAAACCACACAACAACAAGCATGTATCATCCCCCCTGGTTTTTCACCTAAAGCTTACCCTGTTTCCCTCCAGATCTTATAGTTATTCTTGGAACACTATTTAAGAAACTCTATTTTCCAATTTTCACCTATGTGGATATGACCAGGAAAGAAATTTTTTCAGATAATTTATCCCCCCTTAGGATAATCTTAACTGCAGCCCTTATAAAATAAAATCAAGGATAAATAACTACTTACTGCCCAATCCAGATATACATATAAGTACTAGAGTCTTGCTTTTGCTCTGACCCCTTTATTAATAAGTGATTTAAAGCTGCTGTCAGCAGAGTTTTAGACTGTTGTCATGTTTTGGACAGCAGATCAAAGTGTAGCTCTCTACCTTCAGAATTATCTTTATTCTGTGCCTGTCTTTAATTATATTTGGGGACCACTCTGCTCCTTATTCTTTAGGTCTTAAAACAAGCAGATTTGTTCTTGGCACACAGTAGGCATTTGATAATGTTAGCTCTTATCATCATCATTACTATCATTATTATTATTACTCTACTTTATCAATGAAACTGTGAGTCTTCCTTATATGCTTGGGCCCAGGTAAGTCCAAAAGTGATTATGGCAGTGTCCCAAAGAGTATGTAGGAACTGTGCATTTCAGCCCACCATATTTACCATCAGAGGGCACTCTCTTTTATCCATCCATCTACTCACTCCTTCAACTCATCCAATAAGTTTTCATTTGGCACCTAATGTGTTCTAGCTACTGGAGAAAGCTCTAGGGAAGATAGATATGACTGAGATTCAGTCCCAGTCCAGAGGAGGTTGCATTTACGTGTAGGGGACCAACGCGTGTAGAAATGGGTCATTACAGTATAATGTAAATAGAAGAAAAGAAAACCCTTCTTTTCTGACTGCCAAGGTGGAGTGTCAAGTTGTGGTTTTTGTTTGTGTGATTGTTTGACATTCTTTTCTTTTTTTTTTTTTTTGAGTTGGAGTCTCACTCTGTCGCCCAGACTGGAGTGCAGTGGCTGCTCCCGACCACCGCAGCCTCGACCTGCTGGGCTCCAGCGATCCTTCCGCCTCAGCCTTCCAAGTAGCCGGCATTACAGGCGCGTGCTACCACACCCAGCTAATTTTTTGATTTATTGTAGAGATGAGATCTCGCCTGCCTGGGCGGGTCTCGAACCCGTGGGCTCAGGCAATCCACTCACCTCAGCCTCCTAAAGGCGTGGGGACATTCTTTTCTAGAAATTTCCCAGTGTGTCTGATCATGCACCCTCTCAGTGAAAATGTTTGGGGATATTAGCCCCCATAATACATGGATTTGTTTCTAAGTGATATATACTTATTTAACCTACCAGAATATTATATATTATAGAATGTATCAAATTTAGAAATTAATACAAGGATGAAGACTTTGAGAAGTCACTGTGTGAGCAGTGGTTCTAATCTTCTCTTTTTCCCCTCCCCAAGTGGGGTCTGTGTAGCCCATTTTGGAGACCCAGTAGGGACCCTGCCTGCTCTGCCTCCTCTGTCCCCTCAGTTCCTCAGGTAGTCTGTTCTCAGTGGATATCCTTGAAATGTTGCATGAATGGATGCCTTAAAAGAATCTTGGGGGTGGGCAGGCCCTTCTTCCTAGTCACAAGCTCCCTCATGAGATGTCCACTGACCCACATTGTCATACTTCCAGTGACAATTCACAAGGCAGCCCTGTGCACCTTTAGATTGCTCTAACGGATTTAGAGATGCCCACTTTATCCACTTGGACACTGTCTCCGTGTGACATTTTCCAGAGAGCCTGGACTGATCCACTCAGATACCATCTCGAAGCCTCAGGAACAGCCAGCCCTTCTACCGTGTGCAAAATGCCTGCTGGGACTACTTTCACCAGCAGGCATTTCACAAGCTCTGCACATGGGCCAGGCTCTGTGTCCAGTGCTGGCCTTGACAAGGATGCAGAAGACATGGAAGACAACCTTGAGAATTTCCCTGTGCAGTCATGTCTTCAGCCTCAATTCCCTCAGTTAAATTATAATCCATACCTGCTGCCCTCTTAGTGCCATTTTATGAATATACACTGAGATAGTTGGGATGTTTTTCCCCTCCAAACCTCATGCTGAAGTGTCAACCCCTGATGCTGGAGGTGGGGCCTGTGGGAGTTGTTGGGTCGTGGGGGCGGATCCCTCATGAAGGGCTTGGTACTGTCTTGTGGTGAGTGAGTTCTTGCTCTGTTAGTTCATGTGAGAGTTGATCGTTTAAAAAAGGCTGGCCCCTCCTCTCTTGCTTCCACTCTCACCATGTGACACATCTGCTCCCCTTGCCTTCCACCATGATTGTAGCTTCCTGAGGCCTCACCAGAAGTCCAGCAGATGCTGGCACCATGCAGAACCGTGAACCAAATAAACCTCTTTCTTCTTAATAAATTACCCAGCCTTGGATATTTCTTTATAGCAACGTAAAATGGACTGATACACAAACATTCATGTATATCAGGTTTACGATTGCTGTGCTGAGCATGGGAGCAGAACCAGGCACCATGTCTTAGATATGCTCAGAGAAGCACAGAAATGAATGGGGCTCTTGCATCCTCTGTCTGTAGTCCTCTGCACTTAGTAATGTGACCTAGACTGTTATATCAGTTATCTTCATTAGTTTAGATTGCACACTTTTTTTTTTTTGTTTGAGTCTCACTCCATTGCCCAGGCTGGAGTGCAGTGGCATGCTCATGGCCGCTCCAGCATTGACTTGCTGGGCTCAGGTGATTCTTCTGCCTCAGCCTTCCAAGTACCTGGAACTATAGGTGCACACTACCACACCCTGCTAATTTTTTGATTTATAGCAGAGATGAGGTCTCGCCAAGTTGCCCTGGATGGTCTCGAATCCCTAGGCTCAGGCAATCCTCTTGCTTCTACCTCCCAAAATGCTGGGATTATAGCCTTGAGCCACTGCCCCCAACCAAATTATGCACTTTAACTAGAGCTTCTATTTTTTTCACTTGAGTTGCTATCAAACCAGATTCTTCAACATACTGTTCAAGATCCTATTATTTGTACAGTGATTATTTTTTAAATGTAGGATATTGCCTTTATCCGAGTTAAATATTAACTTGTTAGGCTTAGCTCATCATTGTGGCCAATGGATATTTTAAGGTATTGATTTTTGTCCTCCAGTTTATTTGTTATCCTTCCTAAGTTGCACCATCCTCATATTTAATCATTGTGAGCTCATCCATGTCATTGATAAGATCATTGATCAATGTCAGGTATGATCCCTGCATCTCATCACTTGAGACCTCCATTAATCAACACTCTTTGGGATCGTCACTTAGCTATTAATCTAGTCTACTGCTATCTGGTCTGCACTTTCCAGTTCATCTGTGAACTTATCTTACGATATTGA